TGTTGTAGAACCTAATCAGGGCTTGCATACAATGAGCATTCAGAAACTACTTACTGAATGCACAGCAATAAATTTTATGGTAATTTTGTCTAATCTATGACCTATTATTGAAAGAAGGGGAGATGGTGTACAACCACCTTGGAATTACCAGGTCTAGTTTTTGATTAATCCAAAGAAGTGACAGGCAAAGCAAAAGGAAAGAGCCATAGGACATGGAAGAAATGGCCACACTTCAGAATGAGGATGTTTAGTGCTCACTTCAACCCTGGAGGAACTGAGCTCATCTATTTGTTTTTGACCCCATGTGGATGTCAGCTCTTAGAGCCTCTGAAAAGACACAGGTGAATGAACAGGGAATTTATCAAGGGCATTTTCCTCCTTTGGATTAGTTTTTTTTTTTTTTTTTCCTTCTTCAGTAAACACATCAGTTTTAAGGGCACCTTGTGAAATTTGTTCCATGGGTTCCTTTTATTGCCAGAGTCAAAGCTCACCTTAGACTATTCTTCATTTTCCTCCTAGGCCTTTCATCAGCTTCATAGGGGCCACCCACCCAGTTAGTTAGTATGCATTTCTCTCTTCTTTTATGTGACTCTCTGTTTTAGCCTGGGCAGATTCAACTTTATGCCATTGGGCAGTTTCTTTATCAGGGACATGATGAAAAAGATTATAGATCGTTGTGGTGATGAATCTTTTTGTTCATTTCAGTGTCTGTAAATTGATGTTCCTTCTTTTTTCTTCAGGAAGAAAGAACAGGAGTTGGATGGACAGAAGAAGGTCACTTGCCTTCTTCTGCCTATTGATTTTCCTGTGCTGTTCAGTGGTTCATTAGTTCCTCCTAACTATAGTTCTGTATTTAACGGCAGTTTGGGCTGAGACATCAGCCACAGAGAAGAACTGACTGTGCTTCAGTCAGCTAGAGGGGGAATGAGAAGGTGACTTTCTGACAGTATGAGTATGGGTGCTTTATTATCAATTTCTGGAGTGTGTTTTCATTGGTTAAAGGTTTATTGTTTCTTACATGAATAAAGTGTTAGCCTACATGAGACTTTGAGACTTTTTAGAGTATTATCAAGGGTGGTGGTGGGGAAACTCTTCAGGGAGACAGGGTTGACCAGGTGTGTTACATTCCGAATCTACACTGACATTCATTAGTTAAACTGAATTTTAAAAACTTTTTATTCTGGAAATTGAAAAAACATACAAAAGTAAACAATCAATATAATCATGAACCTCCCATGTACTCAGCTTCAGTAATTACCACTCATGGCCAATGTTCTGTCATGTATGCCCCTTCTTATTTTTTCCTCATATTGTTGCATCTGTAAATATTTCAGAGTGTATTCCTAAAAGATAAGGAATCTTTTTTTTTAAAGATTTTGTTTGTTTATTTGGGGGGGCACGAGCGCTGCGGAGGGGCAGAGAGAGAAGCAGAAGCAGACTCCCCACTGAGCAGGGAGCCCGATGGGACTTGATCCCAGGACCCTGGGATGATGACCTGAGCAGAAGGCAGATGCCTAACCACCTGAGCCACCCAAGCACTCCGATAAGGAACCTTTTAAAAAACATAACCACAAATACAATTATAACAACTAAAACAAAATTAGCAATGCTTCCTTAATAATCATTAAATAATCAGTGATCTGAGTGTCTTTAAATGTTAGAATTTAATTTCTGTTTTTTTTGTGAATCCACACTTTCACAGTTGATATGTATTTTAAGCCTTTTTTAACCCCAAGGTTATCCTTCTCAATTTATTTTTATTTGCAACTTATTTTTTGAAGAAATTGGATCATTTGTCTTGGAGAGTTTCTTGGAGAGATTTAGAGTCTGGATTTTGCTTATTGTACACAGATGGTATTGTCTAACTTGTGCTCTGCCTTTGTTTTTTTAATTGAAATATAGTTGACACACAATGTTACATTAGTTTCAGAGGTACAACATAGTGATTGGCAGTTCTATGTATTATGATGTGGTTATCCTGCCCTTTTTTATTCCTGTAAATTGGTAATTCAGAAGCTTGATGAGATTCAGGTTTAATTTTTTTGGCAGTACCATTTCTTAGGTAGCAGGATGTTCAGGAAGCCTAATGCCTGACTTTGTATATGTGTGTGAAATTAGAAATCTATGGAATCATCTTTGACAAAACCTAACTATGGAATATTCTGTGGCTTATTTTTTAAAGTATGTTGTCTGCTGATGAATGAAACCCAAACTCCTAAGGAAGTCTAAACATTCAGTCCTGATAAGATAAAACAACAGCTGTGCTATTAGTTTACAGTCATATGTGAAACACCTCACCACAGTGTGATGTGTAACCTGGGCAAGCCACCCCTCTCTGGTGGTAAGAGGGATCTGGAACTGAGCTGCTTGCTCTCTGGTGGCGTGAGATCTGCCCCTGCTGTTAACAGCAAGCAGAGGCCAGGTTTGGTCCGTTAGTACTTATCAACAGAAAGAATATTCTCAACCACCGTAAGGAGATGGGGCTTCTGCCCTCTAGGAGTTTGCCTTTTCAAAACAAAACAAAACAAGAAAAAGACAATTGTTCTTAACTTCCAAGGGACTGTGTTACCACAAGGATAAAGTCTCTTACTAAATCAGTTAATCAATCAATCTCTCTCTCTCTGCTTAAATAATGAGAAGTTTCGCTGTCTCCTAGATAATTGGCTAATCATGTGTGACAAAGATAGGAAAATATTCCTTTACTATGATATAACCCCTTTTCACACAATGCAAAAACAAAGATTGTTCGAGTCTTTATTTTTTTAATTTTTTATTTATTTTTAAGATTTTATTTATTTATTTGACAGAGAGAGACAGCGAGAGAGGGAACACAAGCAGGGCGAGTGGGAGAGGGAGAAGCAGGCTTCCCACTGAGGAGAGAGCCCGATGCAGGGCTCGATCCCAGGACCACGGGATCATGACCTGAGCCGAAGACAGATGATTAACGACTGAGCCACCCAGGCACCCCTGAGTCTTTACTTTAGAGCAACTGCACACATAGACATGTCCAGGCTAATAGGACTTCTGAGTGGTTTGTAAACTGCTCAAGCCTACCTTGTGCTGACAAATGTATCACTTTCTTCTGCCAAGACAGACTAGTCCTGTTCATCTTTCAAAGAGAGTAGCCTGTATAACCTGAGTTTTGTAGCCTCATGAAGGTATCCCTTCATTTCAAGTCCAAATAAATGATGGCGGCCCCATTTCAGGGATTGCAGGAAGCTCAGGTGCCTCTGCAGGGACTTCTGAGGTTCTGCAGAGTCCTGAGGTCTCAGGTTCATCTCTTCAATCCAAACCACCCCTGGCTCTTCTTTGCTCAATCCTGGCTATATCCATGAGGTCCAGCTCTGTCTGTCATGCCCCAGACCCAGACATAGGCAGAAGTGCAGTCTCCCCCAAGGTTAACATTCTGACAAGGAGCAGCTTTTTGGCTCTCAGAAGGGCTATTCCAGCTGCCTCCCCAGGGCAGATTATCACCACCTCTATAGAGCTGTATAAGCAGCCACTGTTTGGGCTGACTGTTTAATCAATCATCAGAGTGTTGATAGAGTCAGGTATTGATTTTAAAGAGAGAAGGACTGGCAACCCTGTTATTGTGCATCTGTTCTGTTACACCTTTATTTAACCTTGTCTCTTGATGCCCAGATGGACGTGATGGGCATGGCGGTAGAACCTGGTCCTCCCTCTCTTCACCCATCATTGGTGCTAACTGTAGATGAGCCCCTCTGGGTGAGTTATTTTTGTTTTGGGGGGGAGCAGAGATTGCCATCCATTAGGTTCATGAGGCATTTAGCCTCCATGTGATTGGGAGTATTCCCACCACAGAACTTTTAAATATTTGATGCAGTTGGTCAGACAGGACCATTGTTAACCAGCTGACTCCCTCCATTCTCTTCTGTGGAACAAGGATCACAGGATCAGGCCCAGGGAGGCCTGGATTCCCATTCTTGCATTGCCTGTAAAGAGTCGTGACACCAATCTGGGTTTTATTTTCTTCATCTGTAAAATGGGAGTGTACTAGTTTGCTAGGGCTGCCATGACAAAATTCCCCAAGCTGGGTGGCTCAAACAACAGAAATGTATTTCCCCACAGTTCTGGAGGCTGAAGTCTGAGATCACAGTATTGGCAAGGTTGATTCTGTCTCTCTCCTTGGCTTGTACATGACCATCTTCCCTCTGGGTCTTCACATGGTCTTCCCTCTGTATGTCTGTGTCCTAATACCTTATAAGGATACCAGTCATATTGGATTAGTGCCCAGCATATGAACTCATTTTCCCTTAATTACCTCTGTAAAGGCTCTATCTCCAAATATAGTCATATTCAACATCTAAATTTGGGGGGGATACGATTTAGTACATAACAGGGAGTAAGGGGGGTGGAGTGGGGGTGCTTGAACAGTGATGTTCTAATAATGCTCTGAAGGGACCTCAGATACTATCTCAGTTTTCCCAGTTCTGAGAGGTTTCCCAGGACATAGGATTTTCAGTGCTAAAGCTGAGGCAGTCCTAGGTGAACCAGGATGGTTAGTCACCCTACATGTCTCCCATGGGGGCACAGGGCTCCCCAGCATGCCTCAGCCAGACCTGAGCTGCTTCTTTCAGCTTAAACATCAGCATCTTCAGGGAGATTGAATTTAACGAAAGGGTTTTTGGACCAAAAATCATTAGAAAACCACTTGATTCAGTGGCCTCTAGGGTCCTCTCCCGATTCCACATTCTGTGATTTAATTTCATTTGCACACACCAAATTCCAGCCATTTGTCTGAAACTATTAACTGATTGGAGTAAAACTAATTTGGTTCTCATTTAGTTCATGGCTAAAAGTGAGATAAAACAAAACAGGAAACTGTGAAGCCTTGCCTATTCTGAAGCAGAACTTGGTACGATGCTTTTATGATGGCAGATGCCGTCTCTGGGCTCTCATTACACTCACTTTATTCTGTCTCCATCTCCTAATCCTAATAGCAACTCTGTGAAGTGGATTGAATCACCAATAGCGGTTCCATGATGCAGATGAAGAAACCAAGGTACAGAGAGATGAGTAGCCAGTTCACATCTCAGGGTTGGTCAGGGAAGGGCCAGGATCATGCAGACAGTTTGACTTGAGCACTCCTGTCAGGACACTGAACCCAGATGTGAGTGTCCCTGCTGGGGGGAACAGGGACTGCACTGGCAAATGTAAAGTGATTCCATCTAGCTGATGGGCCAGATTCTTCTCTCCAGGAAGCACATCTCAGTACCCTCCCCAGCAACCCCCAAGCCTGTCTGGCCTTGACCAGTACCCCTGGCTGATCCAACTTTTTGCTGTTGTAGAAGCTAGGCTTGGAACAGTTCTCAAGGTGTTGAGAGGTTTGGGGGATCTCACAATAAAGAACACTGAAAACATAGAGAGAAAGTTATTTCCTTGCTCATTCTTTTTCTGGTCTTCTGATGACGTTAAGGAAAACTTAGTGCTTGTCTATAATTCCTCTCCATCATTTGATGATCTTACTTCCTCCCCCTTTTTAGAAGATTTTATTTATTTATTTGACAGAGAGAGACAGCGAGAGAGGGAACACAAGCAGGGGGAGTGGGAGAGGGAGAAGCAGGCTTCCAGCAGAGCAGGGAGCCCGATACGGGGCTTGATCCCAGGACCCTGGGATCATGACCTGAGCTGAAGGCAGACGCTCAATGACTGAGCCACCCAGGCGCCTCTATCTCCCTTTTTTCTTTTTCTTTTCCAGAAAGAGAGAGCACAGACAGGGTAGCAGTATCTGGCTGAACTTTTGAATAACTCTTTATTGTTTCTAGCATAATGTTCTTTTTGCAGCTAATTTTGATGTATGGCAGATAATAACTAGTTTTACATTTAGGATAGAAATAAAAGTGCCTTTAAAAGACATTTATTAATATGAAAAAGCAAGTAATTTAAACATATTTAATAACTAATAACATAGGTAATGTACAGATGGCAAAAATAGTGAAGCATGTGGTGAGAAAGATTGATTTTATAAAACAGTGGCCAGGAGGAAAGGCTGGAGTTTATTCAAATCTTGAAATGAGCAGATGAAAGGAGTTGTTTGGGGTCCAGCCAGTCTTTTGGGGTCAGTTCCTTAGCCCAGGGTGAACCTTGCCTGGGTTCTTGAGTGCTGATTGTAGGCTCATTTGGAGCCTTATGTGCTTGCCAGGTGAGTTCTGGAAAGACGAGTTTTTTTCCAGCATCAACCGCACAGTCAGTGGGATTTTATTTTGTTTTGGTAATGGTTTTCAGTATCTTTGAAATGCCCCCATCACAAAGGGTAGGGATAAAAACTGGATTCTTGTGCCAGGTCAGAAGGCTGCACCTTGGGAGGGTGCTATATAGAAAATAATTAGGATTAGAAGTGCAAATTGGAATGCTCAGGATGAGGCAGAAGTGCTCGCTGTGGGTGGCTACTAAGCCACTGTGTGGGGATTGGATGCCATGACTCTCGCTGTTGGAGCCAGATTGGCCCCTCCCCTGTGGTTAGAAAGAGACTGGGTTTGGGACCCTTCATCAGGGAGCAACTGAACTTAAAGGGGCTTTTTCATGGGATCAGTCTTGGATGAATTTATTTGCCTGTCAGGCTTGCTGCTGGTATTTAAAATACTTGAACTCCACAGGGCTGAGTTCTTATTAAATAGACAAAGTGAGTTTACGGCTGTTGGGTAACTACTCAGTGTGATTCCCACACTAGGCTATTGCTGCATGGATGGAGTCTGAGCTTGACTAATCCTTGCAAGACCCAAGACCTGGTCAGCAGTGGGTGCTGTACATTGATTGATGCCTGGTAGAGGCATCAAATCCTCCTTCCTAGTAGCCTAGACTTTGACATGGAGGATGGAGACTGGTGTCCAGCGACCATCAGGGAGGCCTGCTCATGGCTACCAGAACCTGAGCTTGAAGATGTTAGACCTTTAGCTTGCAGACTCTACCCCAGCAGCAACTCTTTGGCCCTTTTGCTCCTTCCTGTAGTGCTTATACAATCTTCTCTTTTATTTTTATTTTTATTTATTTATTTATTTTTAAGATTTTATTTATTTATTTGAGAGAGAGAGAATGAAAGACAGAGAGCATGAGAGGGAGGAGGGTCAGAGGGAGAAGCAGACTCCCCGCCAAGCAGGGAGTCCGATGCGGGACTCGATCCCGGGACTCCAGGATCATGACCTGAGCCGAAGGCAGTCGCTTAACCAACTGAGCCACCCAGGCGCCCCCAATCTTCTCTTTTAGAATCATGGTTTTTTTGTTTTTGTTTTTGTTTTGTTTTTATTATGCTATGTTAATCACCATACATCACATCATAAGTTTTTGATGTAGTGTTCCATGATTCATTGTTTGCATATAACACCCAGTGCTCCATGCAGAACGTGCCCTCTTTAATACCCATCACCAGGCTAACCCATCCGCCCACCCCCTCCCCTCTAGAACCCTCAGTTTGTTTCTCAGAGTCCATAGTCTCTCATGGTTTGTCTCCCCCTTGGATTCCCCCCCTCCTTCATTTTTCCCTTCCTACTATCTTCTCTCTCTCTCTCTTTTTTTAACATATAATGTATTATTTGTTTCAGAGGTACAGGTCTGTGATTCATCAGTTTTACACAATTCACAGCACTCACCGTAGCACACACCCTCCCCGATGTCTATCACCCAGGCACCCCATCCCTCCCACCCCCCACCACTCCAGTAACCCTCAGTTTGTTTCCTGAGATTAAGAATTCCTCATATCAGTGAGATCATATGATTAAAAGATATTTCAGAGTCATGTTGCCCACTCCTCCACCTTCTACCCCCATTACTTAAGAAGGCTTCAAATACCTTTTTTTTTTTTTAATCTACTTAAAAGGGGAAAAGAAAAAGAAAAAGTGCCATAACATTGCTAATTAAGAAATAAGAATATTCTTGTTCTGAGGGGAGCTTGGGTGGCTCAGTGGGTTGAGTTTCTGACTTCAGCTCAGGTCATGATTTCAGGGTCCTGGATCCAGCCCTATGTTGGGCTCCCTGCTCAGTGGGGAGTCTGCTTCTCTCTCTCCCTCTGCACCTCCTTCTGCTCATGCTCCCTCAAGCTCTCTCTCTCAAATAAATAAATAAAATCTTTTTTTTTAAAAGAATATTCTTGTTTTGAAAGCCCAATGCCCCCAGTCCTGTGATCTGTTGCACATAACAAACTTTTCTCCCCATCAGGAAACATCTGTATGGATTGTTTCATTACAACCCCACAATGCTTGGACTTGAATCACTTCCAGATCCCACTGATACCTGGGAAATTATAGAAACCATAGGTAAAGGCACCTATGGCAAGGTCTACAAGGTAACTAACAAGAGAGATGGGAGTCTGGCTGCAGTAAAAATTTTGGATCCAATCAGTGTAAGTAATGGTAGTAAATTGAAACTACTATATAATTCATTTACATTAAGCTTTCAGCTTCTTTCCTGGTTCTAGGGATGATTTTCATAAAACCTGGCATGAAATTTCAAAATGAGTCATGATTTGTCAGCTCATCTGAAAGAAGGGATTCCATTTGGAGTTAAAAAATTCCTTGAATTTCTGTTTCTTGTCCATTTTACTGTTGTTTTGGTTTTGACCCTCTGGGTTCTTCAAAAGTTATCTTGGAAAGAGTAATGTATTTCACTCCCTTATACAGAGTCTAGTGTCTTTGTAAGTTACAAAGTGTTCTAGACTTGTGGTATTCATTCATCTTCTTTTAGAGCACTGAGCGCTTAGGTTATAATGCTGGAAGCTGTCTTGCACAGTGAGGTTATAAAGTGTCCTAAGCTGGGTTGGGTCCCTTCAAGCTACTTCTCCTTAACTACTTTGAAAAATCAGATGTTTTAAAATAAAATAGATATTTGTAATAGTGTTATTAAAGAGGAAAGGATATAATAAAGACATTTTATTAATGTAATAACTAGAAGGTTTTGTTTGGGATGTGAATGTCCATTGTTAGGTATTTTCAAGATACAGTTATGATGATGTAAAAAATATAGAATAAATATGCTTTATTAATGATATCATACCTGTACCCTTCCTCAGATGTTAGACTTAATCCAGCATGCATTTTTTACACTGTGTAGGATATGGATGAAGAGATTGAAGCAGAATACAACATTTTGCAGTTTCTTCCGAATCATCCCAACGTTGTAAAGTTTTATGGGATGTTTTACAAAGCGGATCACTGTGTGGGAGGACAGCTGTGGCTGGTCCTGGAGGTAAGAGGCTCCCATTGGGTACCCATCCATTTAAACAGAGCACCAGGGACAAGCAGATGCACTGTTGCCTAAATAGTGTAAGATACACATACGAGGAGTTGGTCCCTTCTGTGTGTCACAAGTATCTTACCAGATGTGACTTTCTCCTCCACAGTTCTTATAGGTAGGTTGTGAGCTGAAAATGTTCATGTTTCTCTGCTTCAAAAGTTTAATAATCTTTTCTTCTCATACAGAGTGAATATAGGAATACAGTTTGGAAAAGGTTATTTTCTTCCTTAAACTGGGAACGTTTCATAGAAAACATGTTCCAGTTGATTGTAACTCATTTTCAAAAATTGCTAACGCAAGGTTTACTTGGCTTGGCAAGATTGGATTAGCCCATTCATGTTCATTCATCTTCATCTTAGATTGGGTTCCCTTCAAACAGACTCTGGGCATCACGTGTGGCAGGTTTATCGGAGAGTTCTTACAGGAGCTAGACCTGGGAGGAAGTGGGGAAGGCAGGATTGGGCAAGGGAGACATGGGACGGCAGTGTTCTTGCAACAGAGGCCACTGCCCATTCTCTGGGAGATGGAGAGCTGGGGTGCTCTTGCAGAGCTGTCCTGGATTGTATCTCGGCATCAGCCAGTCGCAGCTGGGTGCCACCTTGGGCAGGGGTGTGACCTAAGGGGAAGCAGTTCCCCGGAGCTGCGGGAGATTCCCAGTGAGAGGTACTGCCCGGAGCTGGGAGCTGGGAGCAGGGAGCAGCCAGGATTCCTGGCAGCATGTGCTCTGAAGCAGGAGCCTGAGAAGAGCGCCACTGTATCCACTGTAATCCTGCCTTTTTCTTCTTTATTAATGGTAATGAATGTGTGTATCTGGATGCAAGAGAGTCAATTCCCTGCAACTCCCATTCCCCATGAGGCTGAAAATGGCAAAGACATAGTGATGGCAATATATGAAATTAGTATATTAGGACAGGTGGATTGTCTCATGTTCACTAGGCCCACCCTGATTTGTTCTGGATTCCGCTCCTCCGGACGGAGATGCCTCTGTGCCTGACTCCACATATGCAGTCCAGGAGCACAGGTACCACATGTGAAAGCTTAAGAGAGAAGCACTAAACCAGAGGTCAGGCCTCAATACATCTTCTAGCTTCTTGTCCCAATCTTTTGCCTGGCTCCGAGACGGCCTGGGCACAGAACGATATATTATTGGCTGCCATGGCAACTGTGTATGGGGAATTCATTTGTTATATTCAAATGGGGTAATCTGCAGGGAAACCAGTTTGAACATTTCTGTCAAATCAGTTGCCTTCCTCAGACTATAAATATGTAAGGGGTTTTGGTTTTCAGAGATCATCTTTGTCTATTTGGTTGGCTGGTTGTCATAGAACATATTCTCATAGTACTTCTTTTATATTTTATTATTCCCTGCTCCCTTCCTGAGAATATATATTTTATCCTACCAATGAGCTCTAGAATAAATATTAATTTTTAAAATGCCGCTTTTCTTGGGACGTGGAAAGTCTTGTTTCTAGGGTCTCTGATTATATTCCTCTTCAGCTCTTTAAGATCTCCGTCTTTTAAACCCTGTTGCAATTTCATAATGGAAGTACAGTGACAAAGAAATCTTAGTTTCAGTTCATTTTTACCCCCTGACTGATAAAGGCTCTCTATTCAAACATGGAGAACTGGAATTTCCAGGAATTTTCCAAGGCCTGAAAACGGGCCTCCCCTCGATGTGACCAGGCAGGCAGGTGGCTGCTCATACCAGTGGCCACCTGGAGAATAAATGCTCTTCCTGACGAGGAGTGTTTGAACATCAGCCCCTCAGGCATGGGCAAGGCAGCCAAAAAGGGCTGGGCATGGCCTTGAAAGATGAGAAGAGCCCAGAACTATGAACTAATAAGCCTCATGCAAATGCTCCTCTCGGACTATCTCTTGCTTTTTCAGGGTGACCACAGGCAGATAATGAGGCTGCCCTGAGATACTAAATTACTCATATCTCAGTAATACAATGCTGACATTTACGCCTTTTGCAGGTTGTTTTGGCCCATGCCAGAGTTGGTAGTATGCTGAACCAGATGTCCTTAGTCTTTTTTTGTCCCAGAATGGGCAATCTTTGCCAGGCTGCTGGGTGGTCAGGTGTGTCCAGTGCCTACCATTTGCTTATAGGAAAAGGGAATCCCGGGCTCCTAGAACTGGCCGGAACCTTGGCTTTTCATCAGGTCAGTCTCCTGGTAGTCAGTTGAGGAACAGAGGTCCAGGGAAGAAGTGACTTGTCTGTGGTTACATAAGTTGTTACATGGCGGAACTGGGTGGAGAACCACACTTCAGAACTTTTCTCCCATCACGTGTTGCTGCTCCCTGTGGCACTGCCCATAGAGTCCTGGGGAACACAGACTCAGCCTCTCTGGCTGCGATCAAAGCAGTTCCTGGACACACACACACACACACACACACACACACTCAGCCTCTCTGGCTGCGATCAAAGCAGTTCCTGGACACACACACACACACACACACACACTCAGCCTCTCTGGCTGCGATCAAAGCAGTTCCTGGATACACACATACACACACACACACACACTCAGCCTCTCTGGCTGCGATCAAAACAGTTCCTGGACACACACACACACTCACACACACACACACACTCAGCCTCTCTGGCTGCAATCAAAGTAGTTCCTGGACACACACACACACACACACACACAGTAGGAAGACCGTGATGATCTACACGGCACCCTGACCATTTTGCTTTATCTGCAGTTTTTTAAGGCATGCTTTAGGGGACTTACACAATAAATTTATGGTCTGTTTAATATTGCTTGTCTCGTTATGTATATTGAGATTAAATTTATGTTACTTTTGCTCTTTCCTTGCTGAATGAGATGAAAGGACCAGTGAGAAGCTATTCTATAGAGCAATTCTAGAGGATAGAAAAATGTTGTTAATAACCCCCTTAAATCACCACAACTCTGAAAACAAAAGCAAATAAAAATGTCCTTTCTGAAATTCATTACTAATTGTTAGCAGAAAATAAACCAAAGCTCTGTTTTGTGACAGACACCTACTATATTAGAAAGGTGTGGAGAGAAAACACACATAATAATGTTTTGGAAAATTTGTGAGTTAAGTTCTAATCTAAATATTAAATTTTAAAAATTTGTAAGTCCTATTATCTCTCACCTAAATGAGATATAAGAATTTAGGCCTTTAAGAAAAATATAATACTCAGAAAAAATACCTAGTGTGTGCTAAGGCATAAACTATATTTTCTCTTTTTTCCTTTTAGCGTAAAATGTTCAGCAGATAGAAACTATTAATTTCAGCATGAATCACATGTTCATCTTAAATGGTTTGGAGTTTAGAGCACATAAATGAGTGTAAAGTAAAATATTTATAAAACTTGATAAAATAATTACTTTTTTAAAATCTGTTTTTTCTATCAGAGATCTGTGTATAAGTTCAGTAACTAAGCCAGGTTGAAGTGAGGGGAGACATCCTTTGTCCAGTTTTTGCTTTTATTTAAGGCCTCAGAAAGTCTGGTATGGGCCTGATTATCATTGCAAGTGTTATACTTTATTTTTTTATTTTTTATTTTTTTGCAAGTGTTTAAACTTTAAACAATTTTCACCCGCTGACACTGTGGCATGACTCAAGTTTCTCACGTTAACGAATTAGGGTCATAGCAGGGCTCTGATAGTTTGGAACATAGGACAAGTACACACACACACACTTAGCCAGAGATGGTTAGCAAGCCCTGCTTCCGATGGCAGCCTCTGGCATAGAAGGAGAGTCACTGGATTGCTAGGGGTCAGAAGGAAGGTGTAGAACCCTTGGGAGTGGAGAAGAAGGGAGGAACTTTGAAATGCAGCAGCGTTGCATCCTGTGTACATGCACTGTCTGTGCTCAACAAAAGCGAGAGAAGTGAGGAGTGGGAGTGACTCTGCCCACCTACCACCCTCCTCAATAAGCACGTGCCCTGGAGAGATGACAAGGGAGGTGGGACTTCCCTCAGCGGGGAATCGGCTTCCTACCTCCCCACTCTGATGGGAACGCTAGGGTTGTAAGTGGCGTAGTTTTCATTCTTCTAGTGCAAGCCATTGACTTCACCTGCTATCAGAAAATGAACACAATCTGCCCCAACAGTGTGGAGGAAAATATGTTGTTCTGGCCTTAGTGAGTGGTGGCTAGCATCCAACACAGTGCTTCCTAATGTTACAGGGCTGCAGGGTTCTTGTCTCACAGAGTCAAAGAATGAATCTTGTGGATACAAAAGGGTGAAGTGCAAGTTTATTTACTTATTTATTTTTAATTTGAGAGAGAGATTAAACGACCACGAGAGAGAGCACAACGGGGCAGGGGGAGCACAGAGGGAGAGGGAGAAGCAGGCTCCCCACTGAGCAGGGAGGCCAACGTGGGGCTAGATCCCAGGAGCCTGAGCTCATGACCTCAGCCAAAGGCAGACACTTAACTGACTGAGCCACAAAGTGAAAGTTTATTAAGTGAAGGTGAGAGCAGAAACAGAAAGAAAAAGCTCTCCAGAGTGAGAGGGGTCCCGAATGGGTTGCCACTGTAGGGTTTTAGTGGCAGTCTTTTGTTGAGAACCGACTGGGAAGCTTGTGGTCTTGAAATTCTTGTGCCATTTTGGTTTGAGCAAGGACTATTGATAACACCCTTATTGGCTTAGTTCTTCTTGAGATCCGGTCATTTTCTGTGATTACAACGTAGCTGCCAAAAAAAATACTCCCTCACATTCAGGGCCAGGTGGTCTGGTTTATTCCCTTATCTCTGGTTTTGTATCCCTCAGCCTTTCTCCACATTCGGGATTTCTGTGAGCCTGGTCATATATCCCCTTGTGTGAGCCGAGTCAGGGGGGTCAGGGGCCTCCTATCTCTCCCTGCCTATACCTTAACCCTTTCCTTACTCACTAAGGCATCTTATTGAGTAATTTTGATGATTCTTGACTTTTGCTTTATGTCCCCTATTGAATCTAACACCCTTGAAAG